TTCCCTAGGTGGTTTCTGAGTTTCCAAGGACTCAGTTCCATCTCTTAGGTGTCCTCTCTGCTTTGAAAGAACCTCCCAATTCCCAACCAAGAAGAGCCTAAAGTTCTCTTCTCTAATAATTCACATCATTTTGTTGTTTTTAAAAATATGACACTTTACTTCCATTCCCTTTGAATTAACTCTGGCATTCTTTCTCTAGTGGAAGCTTAGACAGATTCTCTGCCTAGAAAAGAACCCCAAATAGATGCTCTCCAACAGCCCTGGAGTAAGATGACTCCATTCTCCCAGAGTACAGTCATTTAGTGGCTGGGGAAGGTCATGCTTACTTAGAGAGACTACTATCCCACAGTTTTCCTGCATGACGTATTCTCCATAAAAGTCTGTCTGAGAAGGGTCCAGGCTCCGCCACTCCTCCTGAGAGAAACACAGTGACACATCCTTGATGGTTACCAGGCCCTGAAACAAAATGTAGCATCATCTGTCAGCAGCTGTTCCTTAAGGAAAATGGGTTCTCAGTGTAAAAGGCTGAGGTAGTAGTAGAGGGGAGAAGGCAAGAGAGTGTCTAGAAAAAGAACTGCCCAGATGTCCCTGGGCAGGGCACATAGTTTTGGTGAAGAGGAAGTGAGGAAAGGGGTAAAGGTAATGGTCCGTGAATGAGTGAGGAAAACGGCTGTAGAGGATTTTCCCAAATTGGGACCATGAGAAGCTGGAGGCACCACAAACTCTTTGGTGCCTCTGTCTAGTTACAGGTGTCTGCCCAGTCTCTTCTCACCGGCCTTATTCTTTTCCCTGTAGAAATTGTGTACTAGCTCCTCCTTTCTCCACTTGACCTTTCCTTTCCTATCAGCACAAAAGAATATAGATAAAATATTCTTTCTTGCCCCCTTCCCCTATTATGCCATATCCTTATCTTTTAAGGCATCATAGTGTGGCAGTTAGGAGCCCAGATTCTGGAGCCAAATGACTCCTAGCTCTGCCACTTATTAGCAGTATGACCTTACACAAGTGCCTTAATGTTTTCCTGTCCAATTTTCTCATTGTAAAATGGGGATAACTGAGTTTCTCTCAGGGTAAAATGACTTAATGTGAACAGCAAGCATGGTAAGCACTTTGGGAGTATGGATACTACTACTACTATTATTACTGTCTTCCCATGGCTCTCCCCTTGCCTTCTGAATCTAAACCTGTTTTCTCTCTCTGGCTCTGCCCCTTTTTACATCTTTCTATCTTCTGTTCTTTTCCATAAATGCTCTATCATCCACCCAATCCTGTCTACTTTATGTTCTTCTAAGCTTCCTTCAGGTCCTCTTTTCCTAATCTTTCCAGATTTATTTCTTAAAGGACATTAATGAATTGTTCTTAAATTCCCCCTGTGGATAGCACAGCCATCCATTAAAAAACAAACAAACAAACAAAAAACACCTAACCTCTAGGAATTCCCTTCTTCTCATCATGCCTCCATTCATTTTTTAAAAGGGTATTATGAGCCCCTTGGAAAGGGACAGAATCTGTTCAGACATAAAATGGACATACCATTAGTGGTCATGTGAAATGACAAATCAATGGAATGATGCAAAGGCTGTAGAAAGGCAGCGTTGAGAAAACCCTGAGAGAGGCCAAAGGAAGAACACAGCCCACCTGTGATCCAGCTGCAAGAAGTGCAGCTGCCATCTCCCAATCTCCAGTGCCCCCTTCCTGGGGAATGGCAGGAACCCACGGAGCCGACTGAGCTGGTGAGGGGAGAGAGGAACCATTAGAGATGCAGCATCCAACCTTTCCCAATTAGAGCCTGGGCCCTATTTTAGAGGGGCTTAAGGGTCACTTTTTTTTTTCTATATTTATACCCATTGGTAAGACTCCAATGCATAAATGTAGTAGAAAAGACCCTCCCTCAAATATCCTGAAAGGGTACTGAGTGGTTGTTAGTAGAGCATTTATCTCATCCATTTCTACTCGACTAGCTGTGGTTTGAATTTATATTATTTGAATGTAATTTTCATCTTGTAAGGTGCATTTTACTGAGTGTGTTTTCCAACAGCAGTCAGTGTTTCTGTCACTTCCTTTGTCTCCCATATTTGTTACCACTAACCATGTAGCATGTGGAGGGAGTGATTATGCAAGAAACGGAAGAAGCCCAGTTACATGGTTTGCAGAATCCAGGTGTTCATTATATTAATATTTCTGTGACCAGAGCCCAGAAGTTCCTTATATTTCTGTGACCTAGTCCTGGTACTGACTGTGCTGTTCAGTCAGTCCGTGGGAATTTGGGGATTTTTAACTCTACTTTTCCAACAGAGATTAGAAGACTATTCTCTGCACTGTGCTTCCCACACACACCCCCTACGGGCTCTCACCCTTGTCCTGAAGCGACTGTGGCTCCTCTTCAAGGTCACAGCACAGGTGCTCCAGTGGCCCTGGTGCTGTCCTCCATGGCCCCTCTTCCTGGCTTCCCCTTTCCACCTGGGGCTCTGCTCCATCCAGCTGAACACTCATTGACTCCCATCCTGTCCCCAGGGCTGCTGTCTGTTCTGAAAGCATTTTTGCTACAAACCCAAATTGTGACCTGGAACAAATTCATATCAGTTATGCCCATGAAAATGGAAAGGGGTGATATTCCTAAGGGAGTTATGGAGAACAGCCCAGGGATAAAAGATGACACTGGATAGGAGGAGCTTGATGAAAGATGAACTTTAAAAGCTTGATGTGTTCCAATCAATTGAACCTGAGCCAGAAAAGAGCAGGTGCTACATAGCAAAGTCACAAATGGTTACTTTGGGGCTGGAAGAACTTCATTTAAAAAAAAAAGAACAATCCTGGAAATTCAAAAGCTATCAATTAATTTCAACAACTGAAAATACTTAACTGGAAATTTTAACCACTGAATGTAAGCAATCTGGAAATATGTAGGACAGGATGCAAACAGACTTGCACTCAACAAAAACAGATGTAATTACACATAAGATGTTCTGCCACAAATCCCATTCTCATGCGTTAGTTTAGAATGACATGATTACTATAGGTAGAAATCCTAGTCAAAGGCTGTATTTTTTATGAGGCTGTACCAAATGGTGCCTTACTTAGGACAAGCCTCAACAAACAGACACATAACTTGTCACTGTGCTGTAGAAAATGAGAACTGGTAGTAAATATGGTAGAAAGATCAATAACTTGGAAAGCAAGTATATGACTCTAAAGCAACCCTAAAAGATAAGAGAAACTGTTGGTCAGTGAGGAGCTAATGTCTGACTGGGAAAAGAAAAAAAGAACAGAAAGGGTTTGGACTAGGTAGAAAAAGGGGAAGCAGGTGCTGCTAACATGACCCTGGGGTGAATTAACAGCCCTGTGATTTAAGACACAGGAAAGAACCTGAGACACAGGATAGAACCAGTCAGATCTCATTATAAAAATGTGTTCAATTTTAAAGAAGCATATGGTGAAAGCCAGAGTGTGTTCCATCAGAAGAAACAAAAGTGAAGAAAGGGATGGGAAATATGTACATTGGGGGAAAGTTCAAAACAACGGACATAGTCTTCTCGACTAGGGAAGAAGGCTGATGAATGATGCTGCCAATGAATAAAAAGAGATGTTTTCTATGTGTAGATCTCTTCTCTTGATTGCAAGAGAAGAGATTTAGGTTAGATTTTTAAAAAAAATCCTAATAATCCTGCAGTGCATAGGACCTGGTCGAAGGCTTTTTGCTCTGGACATCTTAGGAGCAGGACAGGTTGTGTTGTGATAGCGGTATCCCTGCCTTACAGCTGGGAAATAGTCTATGAGACCTGTGAAGAGTCCCTTTTTGCTTGGCAACTTCATATTTTTGTGATTCTTACTCAATGCCCAAGCAGTCAGAGCCAGTGAAAGTCTTCCAAAAACAGGTCAGAACCTTGGTAACTGTTCTGGCTCACTCATATCCATCCAAAAACATTTGCAAGAATCCAGGAGCCCAGGATAGGTAATGACAACTGTCAAGTTGTTTATTTTCTTGTCTATCTGTCTTCGACAAAAGAGGTAGGTGGGAACTCTAAGCTCAATGCACAGGAAGGGAACAAATTTCCCTTTCATCTCAGAAGTCCAGAGATGTCTCAGGGCCTCATGGGAGCATCCTGGACTGATTCCCAGCTTACAAGGTTTCCTTTTCAGAGACTTCTCATGAGAAAGGAAAATTCCCAATAAAGCAATAAAGGGAAAGTTCCATTTTAGCTTTTTCCTCTGAATTCCAGCCCCTGTATTCACTTAACTTTTAACATGTAAAGCATGGAGTCCCCCTCTTCACCAGAAGTCTTCCTCATTCTCTAGCTCCGTTTGAAAGTCCTCCTTCAGGACTTTACCTCTAGGTAAATATCTGGACACCTGAGACCCACTTCTCCATCTCTCCAGCTGCAGAGTCCCTTGATAGGAAGCCTCTTTCGCAGGCCAGATGTGAGCCTCTCCAGACCACTGACAGAAAACCTGTGGAAGTGCTAGCAGAAATATCAGCAAAGGAGGGGGCAGGTACTTGTCCTCAGACTGCATTTGCTAAAATATTTGCTCTCTCAGAGCCAGCATCTGGGCAGTTAAGGTGTCAGCCCTAACCTGGTTTCTCCCGGCTCCAGGATGACCCCAGGCCTACCGGAGTCGGGGTTCTAAGACTTTCACTTCCCCCTCTTCCTCACATATCTGGGGGGCATGGCACCTGCAGAAGTTGGTTTCTGCAGCGAGTGTTGTTGGACAGAGAAAGGGCCATGCTACCGAAATGAGTAGTCCAAGGACACAGGGACAGTCGCGCTGTCAGAGAAGCCTGGCCCCTGTCCCGGGCGGGGCGTGGGCGGGACAGGCGCCCGCTCCAGAGTAAGGTTGCTTCTGCCCTCCTTGTCACAGTGCCCCTGGAGAGGGTCAGATTTCAGAGAACCCGAGAAAGGCAGAGCTGGAGCAGGGGAAGTGAGGTCAGAAAACAGGTTTCTCGTGAACTGGGGCATGAACAAGTGAAGAAAAAGGAGCCGCGGGGTAACCTGCGCGCGCGGTGACAGCGGAGGGAACCCGCGGGGCCTGACAGCGACGATGGGGGGACGGGGAGACGGGAGGGGCGAGCACAGAATGTCAGTGTGGCCGACCCCCCCCCCCAGAATGGCAGCGACCCAGAGGCCGCGACGACCCTCCTCCCCGCCCCCACGGGTGACCGGCCCCACTCACCGCCCCAGGAAGCCAGGCGTCCCTCCCTCCAGCTGCGACTCCCTCCGCCCGGCCCCACTCACCCCGGTCGTCTTGGCCTGCGGCCCGGTGCCTCCCTCCCGGGCGCCGCCTGCCCCTCCCCTCTGCCCTCGCTTCCTCGGAGCCGGCGGCCGCGGAGCCAGCGACAGGCGGAGACGGCGGCCCGGCGGTCGCGGGCGGGGCGGGCACAGGAAATCCCCGCCCGCTTCCGGGGCTCGGCGGCCGCGGTGGCGCCGAGGGGCGTGGGGGCCGGGGCGGGGGCCGGGCTGCGCCTCCAGGGCCACCCGGCGGCCCGGCCCCGCATCTCGGCGCCCGCCGCCCCTGGACGCCGCGGGCCCAGGCGCCAGGATCCCGGCGGACCTTGGCGGCTCGACCCCGCCCTCTCCCTGACTGACCATCTTCCGTCCCGGCCACGCGGCCTCTCGTGGGGTCCTTTGCACACAGGTTCATTAATTACCTCGACATTTAACAACCGCTCCTCACATGCCAACGATCGATGTGAGAGAAATTTCTCGAGACAACAGTCTGGAATTCCTCAAGGAGCTCACCTTCTAGGTTTCAGGATAGCCAGGGTGATGATAAGGGGCTGGAGAGAGCGTTGAGGAGCAGTCACTAATTCTGAACGAGGTTGACTTCACCAAGACGTGTGTCTGAAGTCGGCCTTGCGCCTGCATTGTCCAATTTGCGGGAGCCACCAGCCTCCGGATTGAGGTGTGTTGTAACATACACACCAGATTTAGAAGACTTAATTAACAAAATGTACAACAGCTAATAAGCAATATTTTGAATATGTTCGGCTAAAATGTATTGTTGATATTCACTTCACCTACTTTCAACTTTTTAAATATGGGTACTAAGGTGTTTATATTTGCCGCTTACATTTTATTTCTACTGGACAAAGCTACCTCGAAGCATTAGACAGATTTGACTGGAAAAGATGAGAAAGGGCCTACAAAACAGAATAAACAGATGACTATTAGAATCTGTTTATAATCTACAAATCACATTCATTACTTCATCATCCGAACAATTCTGTACAATTTTATTTTATAGACTTAAAAAATAAGTGACTCACTTAAGGTCACAGGTGACAAACATTCCTTTAATATATATTTATTTTTTGCTATGTGCCAGGCACTGTAGCTAAATCCTGGAAGTCAAAGGTCCCAAAGGAATTGTCTGTCTGTGGATTCAAGAACTCAGTCTGTGGAAACACATGTCAACAAATACTTGCAATAGAATGTGACAAATGCTGAAGTAGAGGAATATACTTTGCACTAGGAGCAAAGAAGTAAACATGTGTGGGTGGGAGGTCAGAGAAGGCCTGACAGAAGTCTTGAGGGAGAGAAGAGTCGGGAGGGCTCCATTAATGGAAAAGAGGAGGGCTTCCCTGGTGGCGCAGTGGTTGGGAGTCCGCCTGTCGATGCAGGGGACACGGGTTCGTGCCCCGGTCCGGGAAGATCCCACATGCTGCGGAGCAGCTGGGCCCGTGAGCCATGGCCGCTGAGGCTGCTAGTCTGGAGCCTGTGCTCCGCAACAGGAGAGGCCACAACAGTGAGAGGCCCACGTACCAAAAAAAAAAAGGAGGATGTGCTAGACATGCAGTTGAGGAAGGGTATAGACCATGTTGTAGAGCAGATCATAGGGTATTTGGGGGAGGTGGTAAAGCCAGGATTTGTATCTCAGGTCCTGGAACTAAGTCCAGGGGTTCTTTGCATTTATGTTTCCACAGGTGAGAAATACAAGGTATGTTAATCTGGGTATGTTAACAATACCAGTGTCTCAGTGGTTTAACATAATAAAAGCTTATGTTTCACATAAGTCACAGTGTGTAGCAGGCTTGTCGGAGCCAGTGGGTGGGGTGTCTGCTCCTTGCAATCATGGAAAGACCAGGTTTCTTCTATCTTGTGGTTCCACCATCCCCTGTTGCCTTGGAATCATCCAATCTGTGGGCCTCAGATAAAGGAGGAAAGCTGTGGCCGACTTATTGGAGATATCAGGGACAAGCCCTGGAAGTGCTGTACATCATTTTCACCCATTTCCTTAGCCAGAATTCATGACTAAGGTGCATGATCATATAGTTCCACCTAACTGCAGGGGTGGCTGTAAAGTGTGTGCACCCCAGTAGAAAAGGAAATGGGGTTTGATGAACAATTAGCATTGCCTCTGTCACACATATAATTAAATTAAGTTAAATAACCAAGCTGAGTTTACTTGAAAGAGAGATTTGGGGAAAGCTGGCAGATTATATCAGAAAAGGAAAGAAAAAGGAGGCAAAATAGTCATCTTTGGCCTGATGGCACAATAATGGGTCATTAATATTTAATAAACATCTACTTTGTTTTTTAACATCCCAGGGGAAAAAAATATAAAATACCTTTATATTTAGCTTATTAGCTTTAATGTGCCATCTCTTTAGCTTTCAATCTGCAAACTGTAGATATTATCTCAGCGTGGGTTTAGGAGCAATCAGTGAGCCAAAAGGCAAAATTAGGAATTGAACCCTGGCCTTAGACTTATAATCTGGTGCACCTGTCACCAGAGTGGTACTTTACCTTTCACAGTAATATATGGACAAGTCCAAACTCCTGTGTAAGGTGGTGTAATTAAATATGCAGTGAGTAACAGGCAGGTGATTCCATCTTTTTAAGACTTTCTGGTGGAAGAGTTTCAAGATCAGCTTTGAAAGCAAAATGTAGGAACGGCATCTTGGGTAGAATCAGAGGGCAGAAGTGTACCTGCTGTGGGGTGAAGAACACGCAGGTGTGGACATGCCTATCTAGAGTAGAGAAGAAATGGGGAAATTGATAGAATAGTGGGTCAAGGATTTTTAATTTGCCATGTCAAGTAATAGAGAGTCACTATATTTAGTATTATAAGGAAATGATATACCTGGTGGGTCCAATTATATCTTTCTAAGGAAACTTGGTCATCCAGGGCTGCCCTGTTGATAGAGTTCAGAACGACCGAATGGGATGAGTTGGACCCAAAGCCAGATACTAGTGTGTGGAGTACAGTTCCTCAGGACACAGCAGTGTTCTTCCTGGGGCTCAGGGAGAGGTCACAATCATTTAAGGTTCCAAGTTCTCCGTTGGACTTCAAAAGACCTTAAGAGACTCAGTCTCTTGCCTATCAGCCTTAGCTCCTTCATTTCTGAACTCTTGTTCTGCTGTGGTTTGAATAAAAACGTATAATGCAGGTGTTCACCAGTTTAGGATTGTGTTATAAGAGTTTCTTTGTTAGTCAGTTGATTGCAATGAATTAGCAGCTTGGCTTACAAAAACCTTTTCCGCTATAATAAACCATACCTCCAGTTGCTAATTAGAGCCTAATCACCATTTATGACACTGCTTTTCTTCCATTCAAAGTTTTGAAGCTTGATGTCAGAGATGAGTTTTCTACCAACAGGGCAGTGCAGCTGTTTGCATCCTCTATGTCTAGGACTATAAAAGAAAGAGGAAGGTTGAGGGAAGTGTCAGGTTAGGATTCCTGTGGAAAGAAAGGGTAAGGGTCCCCTAGTCAGTAGTCAATAATTAAAACTGGTATTTGTAGAGCACTTCACAATTTACAAAGTGCTTTTGTGTACATGTGATCTTCACAACTCAGGGAGATAGATAAATTATCTTTATCCCTAGTTTATATTTAAGGAAATAATGATTCAGACATTTAAAATCATAGAATCTCACTTTTTATTTTAATAATCCTGGGCAGATTTATGTAGATATACCTGTTTCCTAATTAATAAAATGAAAATCATTACACCTACTTTGTAGGGTTGTTGTGAAGAGTAAATGAGATGAAGTAAATTGCCACCTTAAAATTGTCACTCACCATCTGCCTCTACAAGGATTAGGTCACTAGCCACTGTAGTTGCTGACCTTCAACACACCCTAAAAGGAGTTCAGTGTAGAGGTCAGGAATGAGGCACTCTGTGCTCTGGGAAAAACTGACAGAACAGGCCTTCAGATAGATATTTTCAGGAGAAGGTTTTATGAGCCCAATTTCTTGCATCTTCTCATATCTAGGAAAGGACTAAAATCATTAATGGAGACATCTACTCCTTGTGACTATCAGCAACCTTCTTGTGACCAGCAGTAACCTTCTGCCAAAATGTGTGCTTGATTGCATGTATCGCCCTTCAGCAAAATCACATATATACTGACCTCCCCCCCTCCACCTCTTCGAAGCAATTCCTCAGAGCTATCTGAGCGGCTGTCTCCCAGGCTATAGTCCTCATTTTGCCCCCAATAAAACTTAACTCACAACTCTCACATTGTGCATTTTTTTTCAGTTGACAAAATAGACAATTTAATACATAGTAAGAA